GCCAGGGCGCCCCGCGCCCTTGCAGTCTCTCAGCGTAGGGGTGTAGCCGCGGCCGGCTGCACCTCCCTAGGTCAGCGCCTTCCCGGAATCCCGGGCTGCCGACTATGAGCAGGCCCGCGGCTGGACTCCTAAGCAGCGTGCGTCCCTCGTGCCCGAGTCCCCGCCAAGCCCGGTGCGATACTGTTTAGGACCGGAGTCTTGGCGCCGTACAAACGCGGTTAAGAGGACAGACCTGGTCACCCTGGCGACTTGTGGCCATCCTCTGAGAAGACCATATTCACCGCTTGCCCAGAGGACTCGGATGGGGAGTCCAAGCTTGAAGAGAACGGCTGGGGGAATTCTTGGGTTCTGTAGTTTTCTCTTGCCGAGATCAACAAACGAACCCAGTCTGAGGTGCCTCCCCTCTCTCTGCTCCTGAAGGAAAAAACAAAAAACCTTTCCTTGAAGGCAGCTTGCATCTTCATTCTGCACGGCGTTGCCTTCCGGGAGTTACACATTCCCACCTAAGAGATGCCCTGGCGTTTATCCAACCCATCCCGGCTACTCGGCATGCCTACAAAACCTGATACGTTGTAAGAGATGAATCATCCTCTACTCTTCGAGGGTATCTTTCAATATGATTCACCTAGTGAACCCTTAGCTCAGTCTTACTCTGGCAAACTTAGGCCCTCCCTTCAGCTGAGACCCTCATTCTCACAGCTTCTCCAGCCAGATTGTTTTCGCTCTCAGAACTCCATGGTCTTCGCTCCGCATATGCTGTGCACTCCCAGCACTATAGGGAGGTTACCCACCTGCACATCCTTTCTTCATCTGCGAAGGGCTTAGAATGTTGTAATCCTCCAGTTGCCACCCCTCCTGCTTGGAGATTCAGTATGCAAGTAGCCACTCCTCCCATCCTCTTGGCTTCGTTCTTGTTCTCAGCCTTACCTAGGCTTCTCACGTTCCCCCCATGATCATATTTTAGACTGTCAGCTCCAAGGATAGCACCCCTCCAGCAGCATCTCACTCTGACAGCCACCTTCCTTGCCTGCCACCTTTCCTCCCCAGCAGGCTCTCTGCTCAGTTTCACTCTACTCCCTCTGGGGTCCTGAAACCAAAACTGCCCTTACCAGCACCTCCAATCCAGATCTTACTACCTGTTCACTCTTCCTCTCTTCACTCTTTCTTCCCCCTTAGTGACTTCTCTCTCCCTAGTAAGGGAGTCATTATCATTGGTTCCTTGCACATCTCAAGTCACTCTCTTCTCTCACCTCATCATATTTACTTGGGAAGGTAAGAACCCTACATAGACCCAATTCTCCATATATTTCCATAATAGGAGCATCTCTTCTGCCCCTTATGAGGGCACTAATCTCTTTCATGAGGGCTCCACCCTTGTGACTTAATTATTTCCCACAGGCCCTACCTCCTAATACCAAATCATTGAGTTTCAACACACGAATATGGTGGTGGAAGGGTCACAAAAATTCAGACTCTGGCAATCCTGAGGGCCAGAGTCAAAGTGATAGAGTACTTTCCTTCTTTCTCCCTGAAGAACAAGGCAGAGGTTATGAAGGGAAATCCTATCTTGACCTCAAAGGATGATGCATCTCAGTCAAACATTCATTTTACGGAGGGAAAATGTAGGGCCCATAGAGCAGGGAAAATGGCCCAAGACCACACAGCAATCCCATGGTAGAGGGAGCAAACCTGTATCTCTACAGTGGGGAATAGAAACTTTGAAAGCACTTGGTAGTGATTATGATGTTAACAGTGACCACTTTTACACACATTCTTTAATTTCTCACAACTACTTGTGAGGTCAATTTTTGTTTTATTTGTGACAGAGTATATGCATTTGCATATGCTAGAGAGAAAGATGTAGAGAGAGAAGAGAAGCACCTTCCATGGGGCTCAGTCATGCCATAATCCTCTTCCTTCAGTCCCCTAGCCCACCAGGATCCTGGGCCTCATGCATGCGCCTAGTGTGTTTCAGGCTGACCAGGCTGGGGATTTGACCTTGGCTGACATGTAGCTTCCAGTTGTCTAGTGTGATACACCATCGACTG